GTTGAACACAAATACCTGAACTTTCTACTTCTTACATGTTGAACTCAAATACCTGTACTTTCTACTTCTTACATGTTGAACTCAAATACCTGTACTTTCTACTTCTTACATGTTGAACCCAAATACCTGTACTTTCTACTTCTTACATGTTGAACACTAATACCTGTACTTTCTACTTCTCACATGTTGAACTCAAATACCTGTACTTTCTACTTCTTACATGTTGAACACAAATACCTGTACTTTCTACTTCTTACATGTTGAACACAAATACCTGTACTTTCTACTTCTTACATGTTGAACACAAATACCTGTACTTTCTACTTCTTACATGTTGAACTCAAATACCTGTACTTTCTACTTCTTACATTTTGAACACTAATACCTGTACTTTCTACTTCTTACATGTTGAACTCAAATACCTGTACTTTCTACTTCTTACATGTTAAACTCAAATACCTGTACTTTCTACTTCTTACATGTTGAACTCAAATACCTGTACTTTCTACTTCTTACATGTTGAACTCAAATACCTGTACTTTCTACTTCTTACATGTTGAACTCAAATACCTGTACTTTCTACTTCTTACATGTTGAACTCAAATACCTGTACTTTCTACTTCTTACATGTTGAACTCAAATACCTGTACTTTCTACTTCTTACATGTTGAACTCAAATACCTGTACTTTCTACTTCTTACATGTTAAACTCAAATACCTGTACTTTCTACTTCTTACATGTTGAACTCAAATACCTGTACTTTCTACTTCTTACATGTTGAACTCAAATACCTGTACTTTCTACTTCTTACATGTTAAACTCAAATACCTGTACTTTCTACTTCTCTCATTTTCCAAACAGCTGGTTCCTTTAGTCTGAATGTGTGTTTGGTGCGTGATCATTATTCTTTAGAGTCATTGCGTGCCTATTGATTTGAACACGATCCGTGTATCCATCATTTCCTGGTCTTCTCTAAAGAAGAGGGACCGATGGAAACGTTGTCATGTTGCCGTTGTTCAGCATGGAAACATTCATTAGCTAACTAGTAGGGATGCTCCGATCGCCAATTTCGGGGCCGATCGCCGGAATCAGTATCGGCCGATACCGATCGCCGATCCGATCGAGTGGGCGGGGCCTAAATGGAAGATTTAAACATCACTTTAAATCTTCCATTTAAAGTGATGTTTAAAACTCAGTTAATGCTCATTCACTGGAGCTTCCACAAACAACAATCAACTTAATTATTACATTCAAATGATGTACATTATTCAAGTTTACATTCACTTTGGAGAATAACACGGGAGAAATTAGCGGAAGCGCTCTCTTTTCCTCTCTCCCTCTCTCTCTCCCCTCTCTCGCCCTCTCCTGACAGCCTGTCAGTATCTCATGCAGCTCACTGATGAGTGATGAGTGACCCGACAATGAAGAATACATATATTTATAATAACTAGTTTAGCTTGTTCCAGAGGTATAAAATAGCTAAGTGTGTTAGGTCTAACTCTTACGGTACGTCCACACAGCAGCTTTTCAAAAATCTTGAAAATCTTGGAGCTGGGCGTGTCTGAAAGCTTGGGGATTTTTTGCGAGCAACGCGACCAACAACCAATCACATGAATCTCCCGCCCCCGACATACAAAGCAAAAAACCCCGGGGATTTTATGCGAGCAATATATATATATATTAGGGCCGGGACTCGATTAAAAAAATTAATCTAATTAATTAGAGGCTTTGTAATTAATTAATCGAAATTAATCGCATTTTTAATCGCATATACATATTTGACCTAAGAACAGTGAGAAGCAATTTTTTTTCACATGGATTTTAGTATACCATTAGGCGCATTCACACCGCAGTACTTTTCCCACAAAGGTTCATGAGAACTCTTTGAACCTGGGGGTGGATTAGGCAAATGAAGCCGCTGACGTCACTTCTTCTTCTGCTTTGGGTTTACTGGCAGGCCGCAAACCACTTCACGCCGTATACTGCCGCCCAAAGTCCCCGGCCGGAAGTCCCCGGAGTTGGGGACTGGCTTCAGTAGAAGCTGCTGGGAGTCCCAGCAGCTTCTACTGAAGCCTTCCGAGTAAATCGCCAGAACCTCCACCTCCTCATCTCCACCGCTCCCATGTTTTATTTTGTGTTGCCATAAGTTAGTCTCTCTGCGTTTCTGCGCTGGGCTAATGCTAATGCTAATGCGAGGATAATAAAATGGCGGCTTCACAATTTTTTTTGGGAGTTTTACGGGGCGTGGTTTGCAATCCGCCCAGCCAATCAGAAATATAGCTATTTTCTCACAAGAGAGCCGTACGAAAGTCCCTGCTCTCTAGCAGCTCTCTGCTCTCTAGCAGGGACTTTCGTGGGGGTAAAAAGGTTCTCATGAACTAATTTTAGTACCGGCTCTTTTTGCTGTGAACGCGATAAAAGAGGCTAACGTCCACGCTAGCTTCCACGCTAGCTGCTATATGTTTTGCATTGAGGTGATACTTGAGGCTTGATGTGCTGCGGTGGTATGCGAATTCCTTTTTGCATAATTTGCACACAACCGTGCTCTTATCGACGCTTCCATCCGTCCGTTTTTTAAAACAACATTTCCCACTGTTGTTCACTGTGGTTTGTTGTTGTCTGAAGTCATGAACGTTAGTTGGTGCTCCAGTATAATCGGTACGCCTGAAACTCATCCAGTGAGAAACGTTCCACGGTGCAAAAATAAGTGCGATTAAAATGCGTTAATTTTTTTACCGCGTTAATTTTTGTGTAATTAATTAATCTTAATTAACGCGTTAAAGTCCCGGCCCTAATAAATATATATATATATATAAACTCCCCAAACAGGCGAAAACGTACCAGTTTCACCCACTGTCTCTGCCACCTCCCTCCATGTCTGGTTCCTCCGGTTTGTATCCCGTTAATAGTTCTGGTCGTAAAGAACCGGGTGATTTGCTACCGTAATTTCTCGTTTGGAATATGAGGAAATGAACTGCGGTCTGGTTCTCCCTGTGTGTGTGTTTCGCTGCGCTTACCTGTCCGGCGGGCGGAGCTGCAGGATTTCTGCTTCACGTTGCATACCGCTATTTTACTGTCTTTTTCGGACACCTTAAAATAATGCCAGACCGGTGAAGCCATTTTGGCGAGCTTGTTTTGCCGCGCACAGAGAAAAGTGTCATGTATTTTACGTCATGCGATCGACTCTCGCGATCGGCATGTTTAGAGAGCACCGATCGATCGGTAGAGAGTGAGTATCGGCCGATATCGATCGGTCGGAGCTTCCCTACTAACCAGTGTGAGAAAAAGTTTTTAGAGAGTACTTGTCCATGGACAAGTGAGTTTGGCAATGTACTTGTCCGAATACATTTTTCACTTGTCCAGAATGGACAAAAATTGGGGCCACTGGAATCTTCTTCTTCGTCATCGTATTTGACATTTTCCCACGGTTTTACCGACACCGTTAACGTAAGTCAGCGGTAAGATTTTACTGCATCACACATAGGGTTGGGTATCGTTTGGATTTGAACGATTCTGGTTCTGGTTTTCGATTCCGGTTATTGTCGGTTCTCAATTCCGGTTCTTTGAGAGGGTCAAAATAAGTCAAACTGGGAGAAAAATATATTTATGAAAACATTAAGTCAAATCTGTATTCCTATTTACAAATCACTTCATACTGTTGAACTTCTTACGGTTATTGAATACAATTATATAAAAATAATCTCTGCATTGTTTAGTTAGTTCTAAGTGGTGCAGTTTGAGAATGTACAATTGGCCCAGTCTCCTCTGATGTTACACTGCAACCTGCCTGTGAGACAAAGTCCAACCACACATGTCCAACACATAGGACATAACCTAATAATAATAATAATAATAATGACACATTAGATGTATAGCCTATAGGCCTAGCGCTTTTCTACAACTCAAAGACGCTTACACATGTCCTGCAATACACATGCTGCAGCTGCCCAGCTGCTCACTGTTTGTAAAAGTAAATAAATAGTATTTTCAATTCAATAATGTACTTTCTATACCCTGCTTCATAAACAATACTGACATCCCTATGCTCCTCCGAGTCTGGGGGTCCAGGGATGTGAGGACAGCGCGAGGACACAGACAGGGAGGCTGCTTCACTTCATAAAGGAAATGGCGGTCATTCGGTCAATATTAACAACAAAGGAGCTAAAACGCTTAATAACCTTCATTACGTGTTAGAGAAAGAACATAAGAAAGTTTGACAAAGATGAGGCTGTTAATCGGGCAGCGGATCCGCTGTGTGTAGAAAGAGAGAGAGAGACGCTGAGCTGCACCGTGCAGCGATCAGCTGATACGTAGCATAGAGAGAGCTGCAGTCCGCGGGGCTCGGCCTCGCCTCCTGTCCTCACAACTCTTATTAATCCCGGTACCGGACAATTGTTATTTGTTCCTACTCGGAACCGTGTTTTGCTTCCCAACCCTGCCACTGTGCTACACTTCCCGCCCCGCCCCGTCTAACTGTACAGAAAGCGGCGAGATGCATTTCCTTAGGAATCGACAAGCAGAACCGAAACTAACACTTCTAAACGAACAATGGCGGACACGTACAATTTGCGAATGAGTTCTGCCTTTTGTAAACTGAATGTATCAATAATTTGTCAATAAATCAGGGCGAAAAACGTCACTTGTCCGCCGGACAAGTCAATTGAAAGATCTACTTGTCCGATATTGTAAATAACACGTCCCGGACGGTGGGACGTGTACTTTTTCGCACACTGCTAACAATGACATTATTGTTCTATTAATATAAAGGGAGGTCAGGTACTCTTTAAAACAGCTGCTAGTTATGGGTACTTTTTACTGAAGTACATTTCAAAGCCTCTTTACTTTGACTTGAGTAAAGAAGTTTAGCCAGTACTTTTACCAGAGTATTTTTAAACACGAGTATCTGTACTTCTACTTGAGTAAAGGGTGTGTGTACTTTTGCCATCTGCGCACAAGAGACTAAGCAAAATACGTTTTGACTGATGTGATGTATATTTACCTTCCAGGGAGCAGCTTGGCGATCTCGGCCCAGCGGTTTCCCAGCAGGCAGTGGGCTTTGTAGATAATTAGGTCCTCCTCTGCCGTCCATGATGATTTCTTCACGTTGGGGTTGAGGTGGTTGTGCCAGCGCTCTCTGCACTGCTTCCCCAGTCTGCCCTTCAGATGCTTGGCTACCGTGGCCCACTGTTTGTTTCCGTACAGGTTCACAAGCTCTATAACCTGAGGGGTACGAATGTCAATAACATTGTGAATTTAGGTAGGAGGTGCAGGCTTCAAATGTGCCATGTGGGTTTTCTGCCGCCTCTTTCTGTACTCGACTCGGTGTTATCTGTTATGTTTACATTGTAAAAAAAACAATAATAACCGTAGCAATGGAACATAGTCGTACCTTCTCATCTTCCTCTTTGGTCCAAGGGCCTTTCACCAACTCTGGATCCAAGACCTTAAACCAGCGGTGCTGACACTGGGGTTCACTGTGGTTCTGAACAGGACAAAAGCAAGCTTTAAAACACTGACTGAGGCCCTAAAGCGTACAATCAACACAGAAAAGGACCATCAAACTCACTGGTATGTAGTTGGCGATGTGTTTCCAATCATTAGTCCCCAGCTTTTGAACCAGCGCCTTGAGTTTGTCATCCTGTCAAAGAACAAACAAGTTTACACTTGTCCTACAGAGGCACTGTTTACTTTCACAGGGTCAGGAGATCTGGAGACGACGTGTGAAATGTTGGGACAAGTCTGGACATTCACCTCCTCCTGAGTCCATTTCACCTTCACTTTCCCACCGTCTCCTCGCTCTGGCACGTCAGAATCGGTGTCTTGATGCATGGCTTCCTCACTATCCTCTCTGAAGAGACACAATAAGTGTTATTTGTGACAATAAAGCTGACAGTAGGAGCAGGAAGTAGCTACTAACCTGCCCTGATGGTGGGGAGACTTGATTATCAGGTTTATTGCTATGTAAGCCAGGGATAGAAGAAGTTCTGATTACTTCTTAAGTAGAAGTAGTAAAAAAAATATTAGTATTGTTGGGAAAATACTTAATATACTCTTCAAATATCAAAGTATTAAGAAATAATTTAAGTGCCAAAATGAAAAGTATGCTTAATGCAAAATGGCCATTTTACGCCCTAGATATTACAAACATACTTTGTTAAAGTTATTGTTGCATTTATATGGGTTCATCACTTTAATTGTGCACTTGGTAAATGTGTGGCTAATTGGAATTACTTGAATTACTGGATAGCTTAACCAATAATAGCTTATTACAATGTCTGTCGATTTATATTGTATATGAACAATCTAAATGGAGTAAAAAACACAACATTTGCCTACAACATGTAATTACGTATGAAGTAGCAGGAAATACAAACCGAAAATACGAAGTAGAAATAAAAGTAAAATACTTCTAAGTAAACGACATTGTAACATTACAGCTACTGTGGTTAGCTAGCACTTGGCTATGATCTAGTATGCAAACACTGTTATATAATGTCAGTACAGTATAAGATAGATTTATTAGACTTATGTGATTTAACAGATGGCATTAAATTAAATACTCCACCCTGTTTGCCGGGATTTTCCTCGAAAAAGGCGGCATATACAGGAGTCCGTGAAGTACTCACAAGCTCAAAAATGGAAACCTGTCAACTTTATGTATTTCCTACTGTAATGTCATATTATAACACTAAGTGATACAATTAGTAATCATAGTGCTACTGTTGATCAGGAAAACTAAGATGCACATCTTACCCGCGCTGCCACCGAGACATTTCCCTCTGTTTTTCTGTTGTTTACGATTTTTCCAGCAGCCGCTTCACGACATGTGCATTAATATTTCCCGATATATCCTCGTATTATTCCACGTTTTTGTTGTCTTTAAGGGGGCTTCCAGTGTCGGTGGTTGGAGGCCCGGTACTGAGGTGTTTTGTGGGATGTAGGGTTGTTGCTTGTGACCAGCTGGAGGAGAGGAGAGCCCGGGTTTTGAGATCCGCGCTCCTGGATTTCTATCTCCCGCCCTTCTCTATGGTAGAAGCCAGGCGATTACGTAGATGCGCATTAGAGGTGCGCATAGGTTCGAACAAGAAGATGGAACGCTTCCGGTGAGGAGCTTCAAAATAAAAGTGTGTCCGCCTTACAACAATAAATGACATTATCCTGTCAATATACAAAGAAAACAGTCTATGATGCAAACCTACTTGTATATATTTTATGAAAATGTTGAACATTTAAATAAGTAATTAAAAGCCACAAGAACACTCGCTTTAGTTTGGAGCTTCAAAATAAAAGTGGGTACAAATAATTACACACATGCATTTCCAAACATTTGGACTACCTATGTTGCAAATGTATTATCTTTTCAATTTACACACGGCATCTATTGCACATCTGTCCGTCCTGGGAGAGGGATCCCTCCTCTGTTGCTCTCCCTGAGGTTTCTCCCATGTTCCCTTTAAACTGTGGGTTTTCTCCGGAAGTTTTTCCTTGTACGATGTGAGGGTCTAAGGACAGAGGGTGTCGTATTGTCATACTGATATTTTGTACAAACTGTAAAGTCCACTGAGACAAATGTAACATTTGTGATATTGGGCTATATAAATAAACATTGATTGATTGATTGATTGAATTAATAAAAGATCAGAAGTGATCACGACTTCTTTAAATCCTGATCTTTCCCTGCCAAATTACATTTATTTCTGACCTGAAAAGCCTTTTAGCTGCAGTCTCTCTCTCTCTGTGACACCCTGCTGCTCTGATTGTCTCGCATTCCTCCCTCTGAGATGTCTGGCATTTTTTTAAACTTAAACTGATGCATAGCCTACATGCCTGTGGTGAGCTCTAAAACTCTGTGAGGAGGAAATAACATGTCTGAGGAGCATGTAGAGTTTATATCAGAGGAAAGAAAGCTGCATTTCTGCTACACATTGCAGAGGGTCATTGTTAAATGTATCTGCACCAATCTGTATGCTCCCCTCCTCCCTCCAACTGATGACCTGTTAAGTCTCCAGCTGGGCCAATTAACACGCTGCCTCCAGTTTAAAACCCACCTGGAGCTCAGTTGACACTCACTGGCCCAAGGAAACAATGGAAGAAGCTTCTGTAATCAAAGGTAAGAAAACTGCTTTTTATTCTCAAGGTACATTCTGATCAGATGATGAGATTCTAAATCAAACATTTCCTCCAAGATATGAAAAGCTTCGAGTGTCTATCTCCACTAGAGCTGGACAGGAAGTTTTTAGGGGAACAGAGTGGGCTGTCTGCTGACACACTTGCTGACGGATTTGACCCCCGGCTGTCCATCCCGGCTTCTCTCTGCCTCTCCTCGGACCCCATTTCTCCCTCTCTGGCTCCGACCAACGCTCAAGAATCTGACAGCTGTTACCTGGCCGTGCCTCTGCAGGGAAAGTCCTCCACTCCCTACGAGCTGCTTCTGAAGAAGAAGAAACAGCTCGCTGTGTTGGACCAGTCGTACAGCGACCTCACTCTCTCTCGAATGTCCTGGGATGTGTCCGGTATTACACCTGAAAACAATAGTCCGAGATCCATCATGGAGTGCAGTGCTCTGGAGGCAACATGGAGTCCAAAACCCCAAACGCAACCTCCAGGAGCCGATGTTTCCCCCTGATGTGGCCCAGAAAGTCCTTCAGTGAACACACACTTGGTTTTTATCTGCACATGGCTGTCTCTTCTGCTCCATTGAGGATTATGTGAAGGTAAGATGCTCAGTTTGGATAATAACTTTTAATATTCATACAAATCCATGTTCAACTTTTCAAATTCTTTCTTTTACAGGATCCATGTGTGGGGATTTATGAGAGCCCTGTGTCTTATTTACAATGTTTTTAAAGATTACAATTAAATAAATGTATCCATGACTTTATTTGCTTTGAAGTGTTTTTTTTCAAAATGAAATGCAGTGGAAAGTTATAAAAATATCTTTATACAATATCTTAAACACATCTGTACCTAGTTGATAGACCACTACTATGGTCCCCCTTTTGTTCCTGAACTCATCAGCTTGGTCATGTGACAGAGTGTTGAAAGGCAGAGATGGAATATCTTGAATCCAATCACAACGGAGTGAAAGGCGTGTCTGTGTCGGCATCATGCTCCTGAAAGAAGGACATTCATTGTTAGACCAAAGCTTTCAGAGCATATACTTTAGTGTAAGAGTTTTAAAGTTCTCACCTGATTGAGTTTCTTGAACTCTACCACCTGGAAGAAAATGTGTTCCAGGATGTGCTTGGCATCCCTCTGCTCTTTATCCAGCTTTGGAGTCACACCCAGAATTTCCCCGCATTTCCGCACGTAGAATTCCAGGTCGTCATCCGTACCTGAAAACAGAATCTGCTAATAGTCAGGGTATACGCAGGAGTCCTGAAGTCAAATTCAAGACCCTTTCCGTACATTTTAAGACCTCATCGCCACTTCAAGTTTTAACCGGTTACCTTGGCGACACACTTTACCTCACATTGACTATATACAGTATTGATTGTCCTTCCTCCTTATCTTCCAACCATTTGGACGCAGACTTGCATTTCCCCATAACGATGTTGCTTAGCAACCGGCGTAAACGGAGCTTCGCGCGCTATCAAGCAGTGAGCGCGCGATGTCCTGTTCAGATGACGTCACATCCAACGGGATGCCATCAATAAACTACACAGAATCACACTACACACCTACGTAGGGATGCTTACCGGTATTACCGAAATACCGGTTACTGGTGGCTACGGTATACCGTACCGAAATCAGATCCGGTTTCGATACTTTAAAAAAAAAAAGTGAGTCCGTGGCCCGTGATGGCGGGAGTTATAAATTAGATTGCATAATCGTTTTTCTTCATATTTTATGTATTTTTCATTGTGTGTTCAATACTAGAAAGGTAAAAGTCCCACAAACGAACTGTGATGGGATTTGTTTTCTCTCACCAGTGAAGGCAAATGTTGATTTTAAAGATGAGATTTGTTTGTTTGTGCAATGCCGAGATCTCATGACCTTTATTCTATTATGTATTTGTTCTCTAGTCGAATCTCAGGTTTAACATTAATTATAACGGTGCTCTAACGGTCTGTTTGCATTGACAAGATGTGCCATTCACGCGGCACACCTGATGTGTTATAAAAGATATTCCATAATCGGTTTTCTTCATATTTTTAATGTATTTTTCATTGTTTGTTCAGAACTACAAGGTAGAAGGAGTCCCACAATTGAATTTAATATTCATTTGACATGTTAACTATATCGTAAAGCGCTTCATGGGAGTAATTGTGGGATGATACATTTTCAAAGTATCACGATATGTATCGGTTGAGTATCGGTATCGTAAAAAAGTCAACGATATGCATCCCTACACCTACGCAATGATTACATTCAGGCACACTGTAGAATACAACCTCTTTAGACAATTTATATACTTATTGAAAACAAGCTACAAAATGTAATCCCTTGGAAAATGGCGTTTAATACTTTTTAATAGCCTTAAAAGGTGGGGTAGGTCATTTTAGAGAAACCAGCTCTAGTGCGCTAGAATTTGAAAATACACAGCCGGAGAAAATCTGCCATTTCCTTACAGAGCCCCTCCTCCAACACACAATGTGCACAGATGGAGTTATTTTAATTTTAGCCGGGCCGGTCGTGCTTTTTACAGCGCCACGGCTTCCACAGATGGCATTTCCTTATGGATTTTTTTGTCAAAGCACTTCAGATATTCATTGCTATCGGGATGAATATCCATTCCATGGAATATAACAAGTGTATCTCGAGCCGGTTTCTCAAACTTACCTACCCCACCTTTACATTTCACTAAATCGATTTATCAACTTGTAATATTTTAAGACCCTGCGTACCCTGATACCTGACGAATGTTTTTAATTGGAGTAAATAACTTGCATTTATTGGTGAGCTGTGCTAGGCGCACTTTCTCCGAAGAGAACGTTTCATCCAAGTCGAACAGGTCAAGCATCGGGGGAGGCAAGTCGCTTAAGGCAGGTGGAAAGACCTGGAGGACAAGAAAACACACACATTGTGGAACTCATAACAATTCATTTCCCTTGAAAGACACCTATTCTAAACCGTGAGACATCCAATTATTGTTTTATTAAAGCAGGTTTAGGTGCTATGAAAGAACGCAATGCAAACAGACCATATTCAGTGACTGTGCCTTTAACCCTCCTGTTGTCTTCGGGTCAAATCTGACCGATTTACTAATTTCATCAATCATAACTTTTTAGTTTTACATTGGATTGCATTCAGGCTTTATGATATCCTTCACAGAAGACATTGAACATATGAAATCGCTGATCAGTGATCACCACTTTCATTGAATTTTGGATGATTTAGTCAACTTTGTAACACCATGGTGTTCCCGGTCAAACATGACCGCCATAAAGAAAAGGAATTAGTAACCATCCAGATCAGATAAAACACACACACACATACTCTAGATGTGTCGTCCCCCCCCCCTTATGCGAATCACCTGGCACACGCAATACATGTTCAGTGTCTATTCACTGCAGTTGTTCATGTATACCAGTAGTCTGAAACAATATGTACAGTTTGAAAGGGTGTTAAAAGAAATGTGATGATTAATGGTTTTTGTATTAATGCAATAGCAGTTAAAAAAGGACCGGCTAAATGTGACCGAGAACACCAAAGTAAGGGGGAAACGAAGACAATAGGAGGGTTAAACAAACTTTCCACCTTAAGATTGTGATGTCAAAAATAGCATTTTAGACAAAGGGTGAATACTTTAAGAGAAGGTATGAGAAGAATGTGTGTAATGAGCATTAACGCATGTACATCTGGTCTAGTAGAACTACATTGTGATCTAAAATTAGCATTACATTATAGCATAATATAGCGGTGCAGTGTTTTGTAGGCCGAACAGGAAGTTGGCACAAGTTCCAACCACAAAAAGCAATGGGATCTTTCCATTTGCTTTTGTAATTTTGCAGATAATTGTTTTAACGCCACTTTTGTATTTTTAGAAGAATAAATGCAATCGTAAAAAGTTAGAATACAAACAACAACACAGCATGGCTTTGTCACCATCGCCGAGCTAAAGGCGGCTAATCATCGGTATAATAGCATTTTACCAGTCTCATTCAAATGTCCGCTTCAAATCAATAACCCACTCGATAATCAACTTTTAGCGAGGGAACTGGAAGGGCTACAATGCTGCCACTCATTCCTGTGCCACTCGACATGCCTCCTTTTAATATTGCAGTTGTATATGACTTAAGAATTGACCTGCATGTATGGAAAAAAGATATCCTAAGCACCAAACCAGCAGGACTAAAACTCACAGCGGGTTGGAGCTGAGGCAGCGGCGTCTCAAACTGCGGCGTGATCAGCTGAAGAGGCTCGTCTTTGACATTAAGCTGCTTGTAAGCACTGCGGAAAACATTAACATTCTCTTAAGCTGTGACGGTAATGAATAGCAAAGCTAGGGCTGCCTTCTTTTGTGTATTTTGCATTCTCACCTGATGACTTGGGGTAAGGTGTCAGTTGACAAATTGAACAAAGACATATCAAAGAGCGAGGTGAAGTCCCGGGGGGTTTCATCGCCCTCCTGTAAACACACTCTGAGCTGATCTGACAAACACCCCGTGTCCGGCAACATGGTGTAATCTGTGATCTAGGGGACAGGATGGATGTCTTATTTTAATAAAAGACAATACAAGTGATGCCATTCTCTTGTCAAGTGGTACTTCCTCACCTCTGGGTCTTCTGCATCGATTTGATTCAGCTGAATATTATCGGCCATGAGCAACTGGAGCAAGACATCCTGGAAGGAAAGTAAGACAGGATATTGTCAGAAATATTTGACAGGTCCACAAGAGACCCTTCTAATTTGTTACATGACACAAATGATATTGAAATGTCTACTAAACTCACCATGATTTTACTGTTCTCCTCTTTGTCTATGTACTGGTCACTGAACATGTGGCAGGAGCCCAACACTACCAGTTTGCCAGCCTCCTGAATAAGACACGAGACATCTTTTAACATCATCTCACAAGTGTACATAATGCTTTAAGGTCTGGAAGGAATGTGAAATCTACCTTTCCTTGATGGAAGGCCAGGACGGGTCTGTTGAGGGGGAAGCAGACGGAGCCCGTTGAGAGCAGAGCCACAGCGGGCTTTATCACGCTCAGTGTGGCTCCGTACGGATACACAAATGTGAGAGCCCTGCACAATTAAAGACAGAAAATTCTGTGTTCAAACCCTCCATCGAAAACACTCAAATCTGTTTTATTGTAAAAGATAGTAAGTCAATAATTTACTGTGCATTGTTTCCAACTTTTTCATCTTCGATGCTGCCTGTGACCACTTTTCCAGCAGCTCGACTGATCTCTCTAAACAAGAACAAAGACAATTGTGACTTTTGTGATTCAAAACTATCTAAAAGGGAACAATTGGATGTTTCAAAGTGGGGTTGTACGAGGTACTCATCCATAATCAAGTGTATTTCCTTCAGTGAATGGCGGTTGGCATGCCCCTTGAGATCTTCGTTTAAAAGGTTAGCATTACACAAGTTACCTCATAAGACCTCCTAGATGTGATGCGTGATTTGAGGATATTTACGTCATACAACCCCACTTTAAATACTACAAACGACTTTTTTTAGTACATTTAGTACAACTACATTTGAAAACATATAAACATACAACAAACACGCTACAAAAAATCCACAAACCTGTTCAGCACACCATTGGACACAAGCGCCTCCTTAGGGTGGAAGTATTTGTAATACACATTCCTCACAACAGCATCTGCAGCAGAGATGAAGAGAAAACAGATGCCACAGAATGAAAATCAATTCAAACAAAAGTACCCAGAACTGCATAAATGATGTCATTTCAACGCATTTAAATATGCACCGTTGTTGACCATTATCCCAAACTCCTCCAGAAGAAAGTTGATGTTAGTATCATATTTCATTTCTCCTCCTTCCCCGAGCATGACCAGGACGTTTCCTCCTGCGTCCAGGTAGTGCTTCAGCACCTCCAGCTGAAAGGAAATGGGACAACACTCTGAAAACATGCCTTTGTGTGCAGGAAATTAAATCAGTGTACAAAATGTCAATGAGGAGGTGATGGTGGCTTCCCATCTCCCACGCCAACATGTCTGTTTTCCCTTCACAACACCTATGATAGTTGTGCTCTCTTTCGGTACCTCTGATGCTGTGAACTTCTCCCTGGGACCTGCAGTTATCCACAGTTTGACACCCTTCAGCTTCTCCAGAGACAGTTCTTCCTTCAAACTGGGGGTGACAGCATTTATTTCACTACTGAGTGTTTTTCTCTAGATTATTGCAATACAATTCATTTTTGTAATATATTAAGCCAAAGCCAGTAGCCCAAGACAACATAGATGGTTATTGATAAACAAGCAACATTACCTTTGGATTTTCCATTGAGCTCTTAGTCTTTTCTGCATGGTTTTGTATCCATTATTCGTATTAAACAGCTCTCTCTTCGAGACATTGAAGACGACAGTGTTGTGTTGTTCCTTCTCCATTCTTCTTTATTATGATTCACTCTCCGAAATAGGCTCTTAATAGCATCCATACAACCTAGAAACAGGTTGTAACTCCAAGTTAGATCAACTAGAAGTACGTACAAACTGCCCTCGATACATTTGCTATCTTAGCTAACTCTGCATTGAGTTAACAGGTTTACTCGCTAGCTATATGTGACATTTAGGTAAATAATCGACCAATATTAACTTGATAAAGTTGTAGTAACGTTAGTAGGTCCCTGAAATAACCTAAGCTAGCATACTGTTAGCAACAAAGCTAGCTCCTTCAATGTTATGTTACGTTAGCCGTGTATAAATTAGCTTAGCGTCGTAGTCTCACGTTCGCGGTTGACGTCTGCTATGAATGTGTGTTTCTTCTCTGCATTTAAATACATAAAAAGTTGATTTCCAGTCTTTTGAAAGTGATATTAGAGTGTTTTCGTTCCCAGGTTACCTCCTTTGGTCTCCTAGACGTGATGCATGATGGGAGGAAAGTGGTAACTAGGGGCGCTAACCACTTAGCAACCAAGCAGTAGGGTGGGTAATTTTAGTATTTTGATACTAACGTTGATACTAACAGAACAACAAAAAGCTATGATACTGATGTCCTACAAGGAGAACACACACTGATGCCTAATATACATCAGCATAGTAGATCTATGTTAACTGTGTATTGGCTCCTTTGCTCACATTTGTGTGCATTATGGACGCCATTTCAAGTCTGCCACCTTGTAAAATGAACTATTTGTGGCAGATTCAAAGGTACTATTGATAGGGAACAATCTGTACAGTGTTGCTCTGTCCTGCCCCACAATCAGTCTGTTTTTGAGTCTCTCATGAAGGACCAGACTTTCTTTTCCAGGCCGTATCTATGTTGCTCTAATTTAAGTCTCCGTTGATGGATCAGATTGTAGTTGAATGTCCTAATCCAGTCCCAGTTTATAATTCTTCATTACATAACATTTCATTTAGCTTTGAGATTGAAACTCAAGAACCAGGGACATTAGCCTTTCCAAAACATTATAAAACATTATATATAAAATATAATGCATTGGCGTCAATTGACCTCAAATAAGCTATTTCTAACAACTACAGAAGGACTTTTTACTGATATTTTGCATTCGAAAAAGGTGGGTTTTCAGTCTGCGATGGAGGATGTGAACACTTTCTGCTGTGCTGATACTTGGAGAGCTTGTTCTACTATTGGCACAGTATGCCAGTAACAGTGTGTTGAGTCTCCACTGGTGAATCAAGCTATTTCCTTTTCTGCTTCAATCAAACAGGCAGATTAAGGCATAAGGCATGTGCAAGATAGGCGTTATTCCATCCAAGTTACTTCCTTGTTGGACCTTTTCGACATTTAAAAAATGTTTTACCAGTGAGAACATCCAAGATAACAGCCAAGTTATTGCGGTAGAATTCAACTAGATATTGTTTAATTTCACAAACTAGTATGAGTGAACCTGCAGATCAGTTTTGTGGCTATGCAAAACAAATGACAAGGGTTCACTCATTATAACATTTTCATTATTTATTGACTGGAAATCAAATATATATTCAAAAACAAATAATAGTTATTAAATATCACATGTATGAATGAAAATCAGAAAACAGTTATACGATTAATTTAAATCTGATAAGTAAGTGCTTATAGTTTGCTGGGCCGTGTGACTGGCTTCACTCTCAGGACCCCCTCCTGGGAGCACGAGGCAGCGAGGACCCCGTCCCTCCTCCACAGCCGGCCCTGCACCAATCCCCTGCTGCCGCCTGCAGGAAACAACACACATGCTCAAGGCTTTTATTGTCATTTGTACATAGCTACAGTGTAGATATGTCAATGAGAATCTTAGGTCACAGGCTGGGACACTCGATCTGGAGTTATGCTATACTGCACATATAACGGTACACTCTTATCGTACTTACTTTTGGTGTATATTTTTTTTATAGTGGCTTGAAATAGTTATACATTTTCTCCTATTTTTTAAACAAATTAATTCCCTTCACTGTATTTATGAATTCGAAATTTTACATCAAAGCAAATTCTTTGTAAGGGTTTAAAATACATTAGCATTTGTTTCCATTACTTGAAGCTGTAATGTTGATGTTTGTTGAGCAAATCATGAAACTCAAATTAAACTCTGTAGAACTATCTCCAGGTCATAGGTCATAAAGTTCCTATAGTGATAAAGACCCGAATGTGTGCAGTTCTGACAGAAAGCCCAATAGGGGGTCCTGACACACTCACCTGCCCACGGGCTCTCACACTCGTACAGCATCCACTCGTCGCTGCGGAAGGTGCTGTGGAACCACATGGCGTGGTCCAGCGAGGCGGCAAACTGCGCTCTGTAGCCGGGGTACGGAAGCAGAGCGGTGCCCAGGAAGGCGAAGTCTGACACGTAGGCAGCAACGCAGCAGTGCAGCTTCATGTTGCCCTCACCTGCAACAATACACATTAGTGAGCACTGCACCAGACTCCATTAAAAAAAATAGCCCTTTGCTTGTGATCAACAGGTCATATATTTACTAAGGCCTTTTGTCATAAACCTAAAACTCAACTTGTGGAATTTGATCCTGGCATGCTTGACCACTGTTTTTGTATAACAGGAGTAACCAGAGCTAAGTGACATTTAAAAAAAAAAAAGAATTGCGGTACATCTAATTTCTGCCTCTGTGAAGAGAGTGCATGTGACTTAAGAAATGTGTCATCCAAATATTCGTGTTACATGTTAGACACTTTTATCCAAAGCGACTTACATACTCAATACTGTGGGCAATCCCCACAGGAACAATTTGGGGTGAAGTGTCTCAGGGACACAACGACATGCTGACTGCAGCAGGGTTTGAACCTGTGACCCTCTGATCCGAACACCTACGGACAACCCACTGCGCCACACGCCTCCCTAACCGACAATGTTAGGTATTCAAAGTATTACAACTGAATTTGATGCGGTGTAAATGTTTAAGCCCATCCGCGACCTTTTGGATAAACTGCTAGTGGTGTACTGTATGCTATTCAATATGTGTGATGCACATGTGCACTTACTTTGTATCTTGGCCATCAAACCAAACCCAGCGTCACAAAAACAAACGTAGCACATCACTTGGTTTTGGCTTATTAGAGACATAGTATATCGGCATGTTTCTTTTTCTGAGTTTGAATCTTGATGGTTTATAGCTCTTATTGTAAGTCGCTTTGGATACAAGTGTCAACTGAATGAATTGTAATATCAAATGTAAGCCCTTTTACCAATATATCCTCGTGCTCGCACCCAGAACAGGTTCTTCGGCTCGCTCGCAGTGAGTTTGTAAAAGACCGGGGGGTTGACCGGCTTTATCTCGATGGGGACCTCGTTGGCCAGCAGTTTGTTCAGGCCTAGCTTATATTTCTCTGCCAGGTCTGGTTTACTGTGAGACAACAGAGAGAAAAGCAGATCATTAAATAACAAATAACACCAAATAGTTCATTTTCTGTTAACGTTGTTGGTGCTATATATTGATTTTTATATCTTAATATACTTACTGTTTTTGTTTATATTCAATGTACCGGTATAATTATTTATTGCAATTACTTTAGAACTTTATTAAAGTAGTTGTTTATGCCTTTATTTTGAAGGCAGTATCTGGTGATCCAATCCAATTGTATTTAAATAGCATATTTAAAAACAACAGAGTTGACCAAAGTGCTTTTCATCAATACATATATAAAAAGCAGCATAAATACATTTAGACAAAATCGATAAGACAAAAAAAACAAATGTAAAAGCACGAGACAATAAAACCATACTTATCGCCACAGACTGAAAAACTCTCATACATGATGTAAAAACATTTTAAAACACAACAGAATAGAAAACCCCAACTGATGATGGGTATACATTGGAGACAGGTGCTGGTGGGATTAGTGCACCAGTATAAGCATATGTTTTTTTACCAGGGTGATTCAAGTAAAAGCTATTGGAAAGGCTGCAAGACAAGAATAGGAATTGTACCTTTGATGATATTGGATCATGGAAATAAATGTATGAAAAGGAAACTCTTGCCTGGACTTTGACTAATTTCCCCCACGTAGGATTCTTTAACCGGTGCTTCAGCGGCAGTTTTATTGATTCAATTGGATTTCTTTAGGATTTTCGCCGCTACAACCGTACTTATCTTAGCATCTGTTCGAAAAATCTCACTCGTCACCGGCTTGAGCTTCAATCTCAGGATCCATGTATCTGTGATCCTCTCCAGAATGGAAGGAGTCATCACATACAGAGCATCAACTAGTTCCTGAACAGTGTCCTTCACATGCTGATATCCAAGAGAGGGAGTTACACAGTCACAAGATGGAGGAATAGAAAGCAGTATTCAATGTTTACTTCAGATTAGCTCCAAGTCAGAAATGAGCATGCTTGATGTCTCTCTCCATAGAGGCTGAATCATCATGTTAATCACAGAGCTATCATATGCCTCAAACAGTCCTGATGCTCTTCTTCGTAATCAGACATCCTGTCATGTTCACAGCTACAGTTGATACCTTTGTTATCATGTTACTCTCATACTGGAAGAGTACATTGAGTAATTGAGACAGCATCTTTACCTGAGATAGAGGCGGATGAGCTCCTCCACGGTGAGGAGGTCTTCGGGTGGGGGGACCACAGGCATGGTGAACTGGTGCTGCAGGGGGCTGGGCTGCAGCATCTGGAAGGAGGCCTGGCAGATGAGGATGGGCTGCCCGTGCTGGATGGCCCTGACGGAGCGCACCGTGAAGCTGCGTCCGTCTCTGATGCGGTCCACCTGGTACAGCACGGGCACCTTAGGGTCTCCTGAAACACACCCAGATACAACTGTGAGGAGACTGCTGTATTATGTGCAATATATATACAGTGGAGGAAATAAGTATTTGATCCTTTGCCGATTGTGTAAGTTACCCACTTACAAATAAATGAACAGTCTATAATTGTAATGGTAGGTTTATTTTACTAATGAGAGTAAGAATATCAAAACGAAAATCCAGAGATGTACATTATATAAAAGATACAAATGTATTTGAATTTTACTGTGGGAAATAAGTATTTGATCCCTTTGCAACCAACAAGAGTTCTGGCTCCCACAGACCGGTTACATAAGTCCATTTCCTTTAGGAAAGTACTCATAATATCAACTTGTTACCAACTTACCTAATTACCAAGACACCTGTCCACAGGATAACAACTGTTGGGAAAACTGCCAATCTTTTCAGTTTATTCTATGGATATAATAAGGATATTTAGAACAGCTTAGTAATCATTTATTTATCTGAAGTTGGGAATGTTTGTTGTCACAGTGTGATGTGTTGGGATGTTTTGATGTACACAAATGCTTAAAAGCAAAGTCATTGTCACAGCTAACTGCTGTTGTCTTTTTCGGTAGCTTAAATTATTATTTTTAAGATAACTTGCAGGATTTATGAGCCCCCTTCCATATAGTTGGTCAGCACTCTTCCTGGCCATTAAAATAAACCATTAACA